CTCTGTCCGAGTGCAGACGCAACACAGGAAAGTCCGAGCCAAAGCTCTGCCTGAGCTGGAGACGAGCTGCGCAGATCCAGTCGATCAGCACCTCAGTGACATCACCCTTGCTGCGCAAGGGGAAGACCGTGGTGTAACGCGATTAGTCGTCAACCACCAACAGGAAGTAGCGCTCGTGACCGAGACCACGGACGCGGGCAGGGCCCCACACGTCCATGTGAAGTGTCTGCAATGGAGCCTCTTTCGGAGGAAACTGGGAGGAGTGAGGGGCAGCACGCTGGCGCCCCTCGACACAGGGGACACAGGCAGGGCCAGGGCCCTGAGGAAGGGGAGGGAGGGACCGGGGGAGACCAGACACAAGAAGACGGGAGGCCATGCCTCTGAGCCGAAGCAGAGAGGGGTGGCCAAGGTGGTGGTGCCAGAGGAGAGTCTCGTGAGACAGACGGCGACACGAACAGGGGGTAGACTCAGGACCAGACCTGGACGCTGCAGCAAACACCTGACAAGACGAAGGGACTCTACCAGACTCAGCACCGGGAGGAGAAGCAGTGGTCACTGTGTACAGGCTCGACCCTGGCTGACGTGTAAACGTAGCCAGGTGGCGACCTGTGCTAGCCTCTCTGCAGTGTGTCACCCGCTGACGAGCAGGAGTGAACTGGTGGACCCCCACATCCTGTAGGTCGGCACCACTCACCAGGTTCGTAGAGAACGAGGGGAGGTAAAGACCAGTCAGGGTGCCAGAGGGAGCCGCCGGACACGGGAGGACTGTGGAGAAACGAGACAGGACAGGACCCCCAGAGGGGTCAGCCAGGGACACCGCAACCGGCCGACTAAGCGGCGTGAGAGTGGTGCGGTCCCGAAAGAAGGAGCGAGACGCCCCAGAGTCAAGGGTGAAGGTGTGGGAGGCAGAAGCCGACACAGTACCTGAGAGGGCAGACTCACTAGCACCTGAGAGCACAGACGCACTGGCACCTAGAGCAGCAGCCTCACTGGCACCTGACACAGCAGTACCAATGCCCGGGTTGGGCGGAAAGCACCGGTAACAGTCACCATCATCACTAACAGTCACAGCATACATGGCAGCAAGGATAGCATCAAAGTCAAGATCAAACACAGCTACACCAGCCCTAGACAGCTCTCCCAAGCGGGGGATCTCAGAGGCCTCCGGAAACTGCTGGCGCCAAGCGTCGGTCAGGCGGGCAAAGCAGCGGCGAGCGGTGTGGGTGCCCCCACACTGCTCACCCGCGCGGTCGCCGGTGCGAAGGACGTAGGTGCAGGGACCGAACGCCCCACCACGCTGACGCTGCGAGTACCACTCACGGAGCTGCTCAGGGGCGGGGACGTCGCGAGAGCGCTGCTGCTGCTGCTGCTGCTGCTGCTGGCGCTGACCACCCCCAGTGCCGCTCCTCTAGGACGAGCCACTCCGACCACCTCCACCACCGCCACCCCCGCCTCCGCCGCCACCGCCGCCACCGCCACCCTCGCCCCCGCCGCTCCCACTGCATCCTCCGCCACCACCTCCGCCGCCACCGCCGCCTCCAGTACCTCCACTCCCGCCTCCACCCCCACCGCCACCCCCAGTCCCCCCGCCGCCCCCACCTCCTCCGCCACTGCCCCCGCTAGCTCCACCCGCTTCCTTGCCCCCCTTGCTCCTGCCAGAGCGGCGCCTACCGCTGGGGGCAGACGCCGCACCGACCGACTCTAAACCAACGAGGTCGGCCGGAGCAGCAGAGGCGACAGAGGGTAGCAGGGGGGAAGGAGAACACCCCTCAAAGATGGGGGTGCGCGGGTCACCACGAGAGGCCCCTACAGCGACTATGCTCTTCTCAGCCGCTAGCAGGGACTTCTCAAGGAGGTCGACAGTGAGGGTGGTGGGACAGACAGAGAGAAATTGGTCCCTAACAGCACGAAGGGACTTAGGGAGACGGGTGACTAGAAAGTAGAGGGTGATGTACATGGGAGGGGGGTTTTCGGCGAGGAAGGCAGCAGGAAGCGCAGCTCGGTAGCGAGTGTCACTAGCGCGAAGGTGGGTAAAGAGCTCAGTGACTGTGGGAAAGGCAGCAAGGTCAGGGAAGAGGTACGGTAGCATGAGGCGACTCAGTGTAGCAGTGGAAGGGGAGGAGTAGCGCGCAACTACAGCGTCGTACAAGGCCTGAGCGGTCTTGCACTGACTAAAGTGTGCACGCTCGGAGGAAGGGAGGTGGCGACGCACAGCAAGACGTGCAGCAGCATCGCGTGTGGCCCACTTGGAGCGAACAGTGGGGTCAGCATCAGCAGGAGGGGCAGGGACAGCGCCAGAAACAAAGTCAAAGAGAGAAACCTCATCGATCGCATCGCACAGTAAGTACAGCTGCAGGTCCTCAATCCAGACCGCAAAGTCAATGGCGCGACCCTCAGCGTCAAAAGTCAGGACACTGGGGGTGGCCATTGTAGCAGCTGACAGTCTCACCGGGCAGGAAGAGTCGGGTAGCACAGCGACACAGCAACACGGCAGCACAGCAGCTGCGCCGGCCCAGGAGCAGTAGGAGCCCCACAGGAGCAGAAGATCGGCTCCTCTGGCGGCTCGGGCGGCTCGGGCGGCTCGGGCGGCTCGGGCGGCTCGGGCGGCTCGGGCGGCTCGGGCGTCTCGCGGGCGGCTCGGGCGGCGCGGGCGTCTCGCGGGCGGCTCGGGCGGCTCGGGCGGCGCGGGCGTCTCGCGGGCGACTCACAGGCGGTCGCATGGGCGGCTGGGACGGCTCGCGGGCGGCTGCACGGGCGGTTGGGGCGGCTCACGGGCGTTGCACGGGCGGCTGCACGGGCGGCTGGGGCGGCTCGCAGGGTGCTCACGGGCGGCTGCACTGGCGGCCGCACGGGTAGGTGCACGGGCGGGTGCACGGGCAGGTGCACGGGCGACGCGGCGGCGAGGCCGCGTAGCAGAGGGCGGCGGGGCCGCGTGAGCAAGGCGGCGGGGCCGCTTAGCAGAGGGCGGCGAGGCCGCTTAGCAGAGGGCGGCGGGGCCGCGATCGAAGGGCGGCGGGGCCGCTAAGGAAGGGCGGCGGAGCCGCGATCGAAGGACGGCGGGGCCGCGATCGAAGGGCGGCGGGGCCGCTAAGGAAGCGCGGCGGAGCCGCAATCGAAGGGCGGCGGGGCGCGCGACGGGCAGAAAAGGCGTCACACGCCAACCGGGGGCGGGACAAGGAAAAATCGTCACGTGCCCTAGGCGCGCGACCGGAAAATCTTAGCAGCGGAAGTGTAGGGCGGGCCCACAGGCGAGGACGTAATTCGCTCCGATAACATGTCGAGAGTTGAACGAATGAGAGAACGAGTAGATTAAAGTAGGGCCTAGGCTTAGTAGCCTAGGCCCAAGTAGGATGTCGAGCGGGTTTTACCTAGGGTGAGTGTCGAGTGAGTTGGAAGAGAAATTGGAGAATGGGGGTTTCACTATAGGGTTCGAAGTACATATAGCATAGGAACCAAATAAGGTGCACCACCAACAACAGTTTAAATAACTACACTAACTACAACTACAAGCAGTTATAAAACATGACAAATATATTTCGACAGGTTTGGTTTCGAAAATTGTTTCGCTCGACAAGCTCTCTTTCAAGCTAGAGACGGGTTAACTATTTTGCATTTCGGTTTTAAACAAAAAAAACCTGAAAGTTCAGAGTCATCTGGCAGGAAAAGGCTGAAAAATCAGTCCCATAAAATGCTGAACACTGGAAAATCAGGGTAGGTACAAAAAAAACCCTGAAAATCAGGAATTTCAGGAAAAAAATCCTAATATCGTAGGGCCTGGTCTAGGTCGATTAACTGTTACGTATTTCGATCGTGCTATGCATTCATTTCTCTACCACAGTAGTATATGCAATATAATTATGCATTTTGCATTTACTTCATTTACGCATAACATCGTCAGGCATACAGTATGCATCACGGAATAAATACATACGCGTTCACAGTACATCATTTTGGCGACTCATGAAATATAGGTTCAGTCAAAGCAAACAAGGAATGAGAAGTAATGTGGTTCGGCATGGGGTACATTGACGTGGCAAATACATAGCAATCAGTCACTAAGCTGCCGTCAGCTACCGTCATACCCCGGATATAAGCGCCACCCGCGGATAAATGCCTGGCGCTTTTAATTGGCGTGTGGCGCTTATATCCAGTGCTTGATTATAAGCGCACCCCCTGAAGGCTTACGGTATTATAAGAGCCACCATTTGTATTAGTTTTTATAAAGTTACTGGAATCTCTGTAGCGAAACACACTATTTGCATCCTCACTTGGTGAAATTTCGACCCTTCACCCTCGCGCGACTCACTGCCCCACCCTCGCGCGACTCAACTGACTGCGTGTCCAGTCAGAATGAGCTGTCATGGGGCGAAATGACTCATTCTGACTGTGTGTGTTGGCAGTTTGCAAACTTAAGCGAGATTCTTCTTCACACCCACTATGATCTTGACTCGTTTGAAATCGCAATGACAAGATGAACATTTTGAAGTGAAAACAACTAGATTTTATATATGTCATTGTATAAGCCCCGGCGCTTATAAATTTACTTGATTATAAGCCCACCCCCTAAAAAAAACATGTTTTATTATTGCCCCCCATGGGGGCTTATCCGAGGTATGACGGTAGATTTTTTTCATCCTTTTATTTTTTTATGTATAGAGGATGAAAAAAAATTGTACATAACGATTGTAATAGGTTGCTTCGCAACCCAAAAAATGATTACAAGATGCCCATACAAGTGAAAGTGCTACGGTATGAGTGCAATTTAGTATGCGAACAAAGATTGCAATGTAAATGCAATTGAACAACATGAGCGAATGTTATATAGCGAAACTGTGTGACATGCGGTTAACGATCTACTATCGCTTGTAAGTTAACGTTCTTGTACCTCTGTGGTGCCATCTACGGACTCTGCATGTACACCACGCAGCGTATCACTAACAAACGCTGCCACGTCAGAACAAGGTGGTCTCCCTGTGAGCCTCTGTGTCTTGTGCATGGCCTCATCCCGCTCCACCACATTCTGAAGGGAAAAACAAAAGGAGATTGGGAGCAAGGAGAGGGTGGGGGAGAGACACAGAGGGGAGGAGGGAAAAAGAGAGTGAGAAAAGTAAGATATCCATGTGAGCCTCTGTCTCTTGTGCATAGCCTCATCCCGCTCCACCACATTCTGAAAAAAAAAGGAAATTGAACAATTGAGAGCAGCACAATGAGGGGCGGAGAGGGACACGGAGAGGACGGAAAACCTGAAAGAATAAAAAAGTCTCCTTGTAAGTCTCATACAGTCAGCACTGCTCGCTCACCTGTGCGGGTATGAGCACGTGTATGGTAGCTACTGTGGCGTAAAAGGTTGACTTAGTATGTGAAATGCTGGGAGCAGCCTGGGAGTGGCTGCAGTCTGAGTAAGGACCCTCGGCACACATAACAGTCAGCACTGCCCTCACCTGTGCGGGCGTAATCTCGTGTATGGCAGCTATGTGCCTCGTAAGGTTCACTTTGTATGCGAACTGCTGGGAGCAGCCGGGGACGGAGCAGGCGAAGGGATGGTCCTTCTGGGGGCACGCCCTGAAGTGCGTTCTTAGGTTGCTGGGCTGCTCTGAGGAGGAGAGGGAGGGGGAAGAGGGAGGAAGAGGGGGGAAGAGATAAAGAAGAAAGGGAAATGGAGAGAGGATCGTGCACTGAGTGAGTTTACAAAAGGACGGTCCTGCTCATGGCACGCCCTGATGTGCGTTCCCAGGTTGCTGGGCTGCTCTGAGGAGGAATGGGGAAGAGGGGGGGGAGGTGTGGCGAGAAGGGGAAAGGGAGAGTGGGAAGAGGGCCGTGCAATAGGAGAGTCGGCAAAGGGGTGGTCTTTCTGGTGCCACGCCCTGAAGTGCACTCTTAGGTTGCTGGGCTGCTCTGAGGAGGAAGGGGAGATGGGAGAGAGAACGGGGAAAGGGAGAGTAGCGAGAGGTTGAATTTGCGGAAAGGCGGGCTCATTCAGTGTGGTGCTTGCAGCAGTGGGGGGCGGGCAGGGAGCAGCAGTGGGGGAAGAGGGGGGACTCACAGAGCTGAACGTTTTGCTGCACCCATCCACCTTGCATGCGTGGGATGGATGATGCTCCACCTCATGCTCCTTCAAGTGACGCTTGAAACGGGCAAAGGAGATGCGCTTGTTGCACTGCGGGCACGGCACTGAGCGGTGGTGCTGCTGTGTGTGTTGCTCCAAGGCAGAGAGGGACGGGAAGGCAGCGAAGCAGAAGCCACATAACATATGGCCCCGTCTGCTCCCTCTGTTGCACCCGCCATGCCTTCCCCTGCTGATGCCGTTGCTGCATCCTCGTCACTTGATGCTGATGTGTCACCCTCTCCTTCGCCCCCTGTTGTCGTTCCTTCTTCTCCTTCTGCTTCCCTTGCCTCAGCATCTTCGCACGGTCCCTCCCTTGACTCGCCTTCTCCCGTTGCCTCCAACTTCCTCTCCCTTGACTTGCCATCTCTTTCCGTACACTTTACCACCTTTCCTGCCAGCATCCCCTTGCCGTTCACCACATGCTTATCCCTTGCCACGTTCTCATCTCTTGCCACCTCCTATGCACACCACCTCCTGCGCTTCCAGCTCATCATCCCTGCCTGCTTATACTTCTTTAACCCCCCTGATGCCTCCTCTGATGCCATTGCTCCTTTGCCAACCTCCACCTTCCCGTGACCGCCTCCCCCTCCTTCTCCTCGCGTCATCCCCCCCTCCACTTCCCTCACGCCCTCCTTAATCCTCACACCACCTCTTGCGCTCCCACCAGCCACACCACCAGCCCCCCCACCGGCCCCACTCGTACCGCCGGTCGCCATTGCAACAGCGTCGGTTGCAGTTACCTCACCGACAGCTTCTGCCACATCATCATCAGCACCTGCCACATCAACAACAGCCTGTGCCACATCAGCATCAGCCGCTGCCACGTCGCCACCACCAGCTGCCACACCACCTCCAGTCGTCCCCACAGAAGCAGTGGCAGCAGCAGAGCACAAGCATACAGCATCCCGCAGCAGCAGCAACCCATTCCCCGCCACGTGCTTCCCCCTTAGGTCCCCCTTCAGGTCGCCCCCCAGGTGCTCCCCCCTCAGGTTTTCCCCCAAGCACTGCTCTTGCATTGCAAGTTGCTCCTCCCGTTGCCTCAGGTCCTCGTTCTGTTGTTTCAGGTGCTCCCTCTGTTGCCTCAGGTGCTCCTGCTGCTGCCTCAGGAATTCCTCCTCCTCCTTCAGGAGAATCGCATTCCGCCTCAGGTGCTCCCTCATTGCCCTCAGGTTTTCCTTCTGTTGCTTCAGCTGAATTTCCACCTCCAAAGCAGGCTGCTCCTTCTCATTCAGGTGCCTCTCCAGGTGATAATCATCAACCTCCAGGTGTTTCTTCAGGTGCCGCTTCTGTTGCTTCAAATGGCCGTGCATCCCTTGCACCGCCTCCCTACTCCCATTGGTCGCAAGGATCTCTCTGTTATCCTCTTCCACGTCAGCAAGATCTTGCCTGTCTGCTTCAGCAGTATGAAACAATTCAGCATCACGCATTTCAGTATCACACAGCTCCTCACCACTCTTAACCACACACGACTCCGTTCCAGCTCCCTTGTCGCCCAATTTTCTCTCCTCCTCACCTCCTCCCTCCCCCAACTCCCCTCCTCTCCTCTCCTCCTCCCCTTCTCTCCTCTGCACCTCCCCTCCTCTCTTCTCCTCCCCCCCTCTCCTTTCCTCCTCCCCTCCTATCCTCTCCTCCTCTCCTGCCCTCCTCTCTTCCCGTCCTCTCTGCTCCTCCTCCTCCATTCTCCAATCCTCTTCCCCTCCTCTCCTCTCCTCTTTCCGACCTAACCTCTCCTTCCCCCCTCCTCTTCTCCCTCCTGTTGCTTCTGCTGCCCTCTCGCATGTCTTCTCTTGTGTTTTCTCCTTCATTCTCTCCTGTATTATGTCCTGTTCTTTCTGCGTTTTCTCCTGTGCTTTCTCTGCTTTCTCCTGTACTTTTTGCGCTTTCTCCTGTGCCCTTTGCACTTTCTCCTCTGTTTTCTCCTCTGCCTTCTCCTGTCCCTTCTGCTGCCCGCTCTTCTGCGGCCCCTCCTCCTTCCCCTGAACCTTATGCTCCGCATCCCCTCCCTTACTCTCTCTCTTCACTCTTCGCAGCTGGTCCCCAATCCCCCCCTGCTCCTGCTGCTTCCCCTTGATCTCCCTATTCACTCGATCAAGCCGGTCTTTGATGCCCTCCTCCTCCCAGTGCTGCTCCCTCACGTGCCGCTGCATGCTGGCGTGCAGGCTGAACGTCTGAGAGCATTGCGGGTGTGGACAGGGAAACTGGTGGGAAGCAGGCAGGGGAAGGGGTCACATCACACAGATGGGGGGAGGAGGCACAATGAGGGGAAGAACAGCCTCACGTGCCGCTGCATGCTGCCGTGCAGGCTCAACGTCTGGATGCACTGGGGGTGCGGACAGGGGAACTGGTGGCAGTGCAGGGGTTACACAGGGTTGAAGGGAGGGAGATGGCCGAGGCGCTGCAGGTGGTACGTCCTGCAGGTGGTACGTCCTGCAGGTGGTACGTCCTGCAGGTGGTACGTCCTGCAGGTCAAACTGAACAAGGAGACTCGCAACACCAGGTCTTTAAGACATGTGGCATCCGGCAAAGAATCTCAGCGCGCGGGCTGACTCAGTGTGTGCCATTGGCCATGCATCATACATTCATAGAAAAGGCACTGACCCGGTGAGGAGCATGCGACTGCATGTGTCGCTGCAGGTGGTACTTCCTCCCGAACGCCCTTCGGCAGTCCTCATGCGGGCACACAAAGGATTTCTGCTGTAAGACAGGTGGTGGGGTGGCGGTGGGAAGGGGGGTGAAGCAGAGGTGAAGCTTTGAGACGTCTCAGAACCCAGGGGGCGTGGGACTGCATGTGGTGTTGCAAGTGGTACTTCCTCCCAAACGCTCTCATGCAGTCCTCGAGTGGGCACAAAAACGACTGCTGCTGCAAGATAAGTGGTGGTCGGGGGGTGGGATGGGAAGGGGGGGTGAAGGAGGGATGAAGCTTTCAGACGTGTCGAAACCCAGGGGCATGAGAATCTATGTGGCGCTGTAGGTGGTGCTTCCTCCAGTGGACATACAAAGAGAAATTTGCAGCAAGAAGGAGAGGGAAGGCGAGGGAGCGGGATGAAGGACCCGAGTGAGTGAATGAAGTGATTGTTTGAGTAAAATCAGCCCAACTGGTTGGAATGAGAGGCCATGTATTGCCGCACATATGATGGCCGGGCGAGCGCCATGCCGCACTGCCCACACTCATACCGCTTCTCCTTCGCCTTGAGTTCGGGTGAGATAGCTAGCGTGAGTGTGTGCAATTGCGTTTGAGTAGGATCAGCCCACCTGATTGGAGTGTGAGGCCATGTGTTGCCGCACATACGCCGGCCGAGTAAACGCCATGCCACACTGCCCACACTCATACCGTTTCTCCTTCGCCTTGTACCTCTTTCCCCCCCTGCCCTGCTCCCCATCCTCCTCCTCACTCTCCTCCTCCTCTCCCGAATCCTCCTCCTTTTCTTTCTCCTCTTCTTTCTGGTACTTTGTCCTCTTTCTCCCCTCCTCCTTTTCTCCTCCCTGCCTCTCCTTGTGTTTCCTCTTATTCCTCGTGCTCTCGCCCTCCTGTATATATTCTACCTTTATCTCCTCCACGTCCTCCTCATCCTCATCCTCCTTCCCACCTACATCCCCCTCATCATCCCTCTCCTCGTGCTTACTCCGTTTTCGTCCCCTCTTTTTGCCCTTCACCTCTTCTTCCCCCACCTTCTCCTCCTCCTTCTCTTCTTCCTCCACCCTTTCATCCTCCTCCACCTCTTCCCCCTCTTCCTCCTCCCTCTCCCCTCCCTTCTCTCCCTCCTCCTCATGCCCCCTCGCTTTCTCTGTTCCTCTCCGACTCCTCTTTCCCTCCCTTTTGACCTTCTTCATGTTTCCCTTCTCCCTTCCGCTCCTGCCCTTCTCTCCAACGCGCCCTCGTCTCCCTCCACCCGCCCCTCGCCTTGCTTTTCTCTCCTCGACATCCCTCCGTTCACCATCCTTCCCATCACCAGCCCTTCCCTCACCATTCCTAGCCTCAACACTCCTCTCTACAGCCCCACACCCTTCAACGTCACTCTCCACACAGTCAAGCCCCGTACCCTCACCTTCCCTCCCCCTTCTCCCATCACCCACCTCCACTCCTCCCTTACCACCCTCTCCCGTTTCCGTTTCAGGCACTTCCACCACATCCTCATCCTCTCTCGCCTCCTTATTCTCCTTCTCCTTATCACTCTCATTATTCTCCTTCTCCTTATCACTCTCATTATTCTCGTTCTTCTCATTATTCTCATTTCCCTCGTTTTTCTCATTATCATTGCTATTCCCACTCTTTTCATTCGTCTCATTACCCTCTTCATTCGCGTTGTCCTCCCTGCCACCACCACGCTGCCCCTCAACACCACCCCCCTCTCTCTCCTCTTCCTCCTCCTCCTTCCCTCCGGCCCCCTCCCTCTCCCCTCCAACCTCCCTCATATCCCACCCTTCCCTAACTTGCTTCTCCCCTCTCCCCTCCTCTTGCTTCCCCTCCTCCTCTCTCCTATCCTCCTCTCTCCTATCCTCCTCTCTCTCACCCCCTGTTCTCCCCTCATTTCTCTCCATCCCCTCTTTCCCCACCTCCTCTTCCCCCGTCTCATCCCCCTCTTTTTCACCTACCTTTCCTCCATCCTCTCCCCCTACACCTTCCCCCACCGCCCCCCCTACATCTCCCCCTACCTCCGCCTGCCCCGCATCCTCCCCCACCTCCTCCCCCATCCCCTTCCCCGTGTCTTCCCCCTCCTCCCCTCGCCCCTCGCCCGCCAGGCCCACGCCAGACCACAGCATGTACTGCGCCAGGGGGTCTATGTACCCGCCCAGCGGGTCTGTGCCCGTTCCCTCTTCCATGGAATCCGCGTACCCTCCTAGGGGATCACTCTCATTTCCTGGAATACCCATGGGTTCAGATGGGTCTGTATGTACATCTGAGGGTTTCGAGGAAGTTACAGCTCGCACGGAACCATCTGTACTAGTTACAGGCTTCCCTGTGGTATCTTTCTCCTTATCCTTTCCCTGCTGCTTCCCTTTGCTGCTGATTATCTCCTTCCGTCCTTTCTTCCCCCTATTCTCCTCGTCCTCTGCCTTCTCCCCTTTTTCTCTCTCCTCTTCCCCCTCTTCTTCCCCCTTATCCTCTTCCCTCTCCTCTTCCTTCCATTCCCCCTCCTCCTGCCACTCCTCCCCTCCCTCCCACTCCTCGCCCCATCCTCCCTCCTCCTCCCCTCCTCCCACATCCCCTCCCCCTCCCCTCCTCATCCCCGTTATAGACCACCCTATATACTCCGCTACAAGGTCAACCCATCCATCTACACCCCCTCTTGACTCCTCTGCTTCATTTTCATGCATATGAACCCGCCCCTTTGCTGCAGTTGCCCCTTCTTCTGTTGCTGCTGCATGTTCTGCTGCTGCCACTGCTGCTCCCGTCACCATCTCAGCATCACCCTCTCCTCGTCCCCCTCCTCTCCCTACTGCTCTGACTCTAATCGTACCGGCTGCAGCCCTCTCTTTCCTCCCTTCCATATCTCTCAAGCTCCTTTCACCTCCCTTCGCCCGCCTGCATTCCTCTCCCTCCGCTCGTCTCGCCCCTGTCCCCTCCACTCTACCCTCCACTCTCCCCTCCACTCTCCCCTCCACTCTCCCCTCCACTCTCCCCTCCACTCTCCCCTCCGCTCTCCCCTCCGCACTCCCCTCCGCTATCCTCTCCCCTCGCCCCTCCGCGCGCCTCCCCCCTAGCCCCTCAGCTATCCCGTCCGCCAATCCATCTATAAGCCCCTCAGCTATTCCCTTGGTCACTTCCTCTCCTACCCCACCCACGCGCCCACCCATAACCCCAACCATGCCCTCGCGCATCGCAACAACCGTGCGCCCATCTCCCTCCGTTCCCCCTGCGCTCAGATCCTTCATCCCTCCGCCCTGCGCCCTTTCCCCTGCGCTTTCCCCTCTCTTCTTTCTTTCCCCTCCCCCTCCCCTCCGTTCCCCCCCTCCGCCTCCTTTACCTTCTCCTTTCCCCCTTTCGCGTCTCCCTCTCCCCCATCTCTCTCCTCTAACCCTAATCACCACCTCTTTTCCCTTACTACCCCCTTTCACCTCGCTAACATTTCTCCTGACCGGCCCAGAACTTTTCCTCCCTGCCCGCGGGGACCGTTCGTCCTCTACTGACGTCATGCTGTCGTCATCTGACAATTCGTCCTCGTCGCTAACGACGAGCCCCTTGCTGCTGCAAATGGAACATTCCGAGCTGCTTCGAGAGCTGCTGCTACCACTGCTGCCGCTGCTGCGACTGCTACCGCTGCTTTCACTGTCACTAGCCGCAACAACCTTTCTAGCAACGTCACCGTCCTTCGTACCCGCGCAGCTCGTTCCGCCGGATTCCGCGTTATTCCTTCCGCCAGCCACCGCGCTGTTTTTTCCGCGTGCCTCCGTCCCGCTAACCTGCGCCAGTCGCGTGGACCTCCGCGTGCTACGGCGCGGAAGCGAACCGCCCACTTCATCTTCCGCGGATGTCATCTCCGCATCGACCTAACTGTGCCTGCGCTGCACGCACGAACTATTTTTGCCTATGCTTATGTTGTGCATTAGTCCGCGGTTTTGGAAGCAGAAAGGGGTCGCTGTTATTTGGTTCGGCTAACAACCAACCGCTGGTTGTGTGCGTTCCAGTTCGGTTAAGAAGCTCTGATTAAGGAGTCCGTGATTGGACCATAAATGGTATAATTTTGGTCCAATCTTACACTACAATTGGCCAGTGTTTTAGTTACACAATTATACTTCATCCATGTGATTATAAGTCTTTATTCTCTTGACATTCTTTCCACGTGCTTTAACAAAAGGGTTATCAGCTAAGACAATATTGCGCATATCTCCCTGCAATGTTTAAGGGTCCACCGGCTTCCGTTGTCTGTGGGAGGCCCCCATACTTATGTACATGTACAATGCAATAGCGGATTCATCCCCTAAGTTGATACTTACTGAGCAAATAAGCAGTGTCGCTATGGAACGCCTTGATAACGTGCACCTCCCTATAAATTGTGCCAGCGTCGATCACAGAATAAAGTGATCGCCCGGGAGTCCAAGCAAGCCAGGTGCATCTAGTTTTCGCATCCTCTCCCGTCCTAATCCAGTACTTGACATATGCCAACTCCTTCTTGCAACCCCCAACCATGGTATGGAACAGAAGCAATAGCTTTCCATACCATTCAGTATTGCTCTCACCTCGCGCAGTCCCCTTGACAGCCACATCTGAAAACCATCGCCTTGAGTATGAATCAAGGGCGGCTCTCACAAAATGAGCGACATGTGAGAAGTGCTTTCCCTCAGCCGCCGGAATTGCCATTGTCGTGTGCGCCTGCAAGTACAAAAGTACAATGGCACAGACGGCGAATTTGAATGCTTCTATGTCACCTAGTGCAGCTAAAAGATGCGTTGCAAAAGTAGGACCCCGCAACCACCCAGCGACAAACCAGCCACGACAGTATTGGAGTCTACTGCCTGCCTGATATTCCACACCTGGGGGATAGATGGAGTTAGGGAAGGAGGGGGGAAGGAGCAACGTTCTTGGGAGGAGGAGATTATGCCTTTTGAAAGGGAGGACGTTTGAGGGGGAGGAAGGGTGAAGGTTTAGGGAGATGGGGCTGGTGGCAGCTCGTGCGGCGAAACCCTTGTTTTACACCTGTTGGCGAGACGGAGATACGGAAGAGGGGGGAAGGGGAAAGGGCGTGAGAACTTATGGCTGCAAGGTACTGGTGGTTGCTCGTGCGACAGAGGTGGATTGAAACAAATGCCTTTTGTTCCATGTTCCACACCTGGAGGGCAGAGGGATATGGGGAGGAGGGGTGTAGGTGGCAGGGTGAGGGGAGTTCATGCTCTTGTGGGCTGGTGGGAGCTCGTGAGGCAAAGGTGGATTCAAAAAATTCCCCCATGCCCCATGTTTAGCGCCTGGAGGGCAGAGGGAGATAGTAAGGAAGGGGGAACGTGGCAGGGTGTGCGGAGTACATGCTCCCATGGGCTGGTAAGATCTTGTGAGACAAAGGTTAACATAAAAGAAGGCCCCCTTGCCCCATGTTTAGCACCTGGAGGGCAGAGGGAGATAGGGAGGAAGGGGGAACGTGGCAGGGTGTGAAGAGTACATGCTCCCATGGGCTGGTAGGATCTTGTGAGGCAGAGGTAAACATAAACGAAGGCCCCCTTGCTCCATGTTTAGTGCCTGGAGGGCAGAGGGAGATAGGGAGGAAGGGGAAACGTGGCAGGGTGTGAGGAGTACATGCTCCCGTGGGCTGGTAAGATCTTGTGAGGCAGAGGTAAACATAAAACAAGGCCCCCTTGCTTAGGAGCTTGTGTGGTAGAGGTAAACATAAAAAAGCCCCCCTTGCCCCATGTTTAGCGCCTGGAGGGCAGAGGGAGATAGGGAGGAAGGGGGAACATGGCAGATTGTGAGGAGTACATGCTCCTGTGGGTTCGTAGGATCTCATGAGGCAGAGGTAAACATAAAAAAGAGGGCCGACATACTGGTTAAAGGTTTAGGGCATCATGAACATGCATGGGGTGATCCAGTGAGTATGCAGCATGAGATCCTTACTCGAACCTCGGTTGGCGTCAGGCCCGCACGTGCTAGTGCCGCTTTGAATGCGGCATGTGCCTCGGGGTGCTGCTCACTCCACCCTTTCACGAAATTGTTGGGAGACTCGGTTGCCCCAGTTGGTTCTACTGGGAAGAAATGTGACTCCTTGGCCATCACACGGATGCCTTCTTCAATCACCTGTAAGTAGGAAAGAGGAGCTTATTGTCAGATTATAATGCTTGTCTAGTCTGTAGTGGGGTACTCAAAAGTGAGTATAACCCTTTTGGGCTTGCCATTTGTATCCCTCCAGTTTCTAGTTCAATCATTCTCCTCTCTCAACTCTCTCGACATTTTTCCTTACCCTCGAACTTCACCACTAAGTCACTTAAACCCATGGCTCCTAAGCCCTCTAAACATTAGTATTTTAACACTTATGGTTGAACCATGATCACTATCGTGGCCAACTGCGCGAAGATACGAAAGTACATACCGTTGCCATGGCGGTTTCGCGGCCTTAGTTCTATTTCTCGTCCTCCCACAAGTCGAGACGCTGCTCGTGACGCTTCATTATCTGTACGTCGGTGTTTCTTTTGCTCGTACGACGGTAAATCTGCTTCAAAATAACGTTGTGCAAGTGCTCAAATAGGTTCGTGCTATACTCTTGCACATAACTAGCCCTTCTAATGGATGAAACGAAATGCGTCATCAGATGTGTTTTGATCAGGTTCCATTCTGACTTCTGTTTGGGAAATGCTTTCACTAATAGTTGCACGAGCTTGTGTCAAGAGGGGGAGAATGAAAAAAAGACCAGCCATTAATCCTAAGCCTGGAAGATGTACTCCAACACCCCCTCATTCAGCCGCTAACACACTTACGCAAGTGGTCTTTGCGTGCGCACTGACGTACCTGCCCGCTTTCTGCTCTAGCTCTCGTAGGTTGCCCTCGGTGTGTATGTGGCTGTTGCAGCAGCTATACCAATCAAGGTAAGCGTGTATCGCCTCGAGTTGTTCCGCATCTAAAATATATACCACTAAGAAAATTAACACCTGCAACGATGGGGATGTGGTATGGGTTTGCGTAATGACAGGAGGGCTGGAAGGCCTGGCCACGCACATTGCCATGGGTTGTGACAAGTTTTCCGATCCCAATGCACCTGCATGAAGGTCGGGACGAAGAAGGCGGGCACGAGTCAGGTTGGCTAAAGATGATGCTCCCAAAGTATGTAGTGGTGGATTTGATGTAGGAGAGGAGGACGAGAATGAGAAAATTTGTCGTCATAGTAAGAACTCTACAAACAGCCAAACACCGGACATGCATGATGGGACAGATGGAGTTGAAGAGTCTCAAGAGGAGGCATCCGAATCCGAGGAAGGCGATTCTGAAAGTGAGAAAGGTGATTCCGAAAGTGAGGAAAGTGATTCCGAAAGTGGGGAAGGTGGGGGACACAATGATCAGGAATCTGATGGAGATGCTAGTCAGGCCAGTAATGAGAAAGACAGAGACTAGAGTGAAGAGGATGAAGAGGAAGCTGGGGTTCGTGCGCAGAATCAGGGCAAGCTGCGCTCTGTGATGGATTTGGGAGACGGAACTGGAAAAGGTAGGGAGCAAGCAAACGGGAATCGTCCAAGCTCGAACCAGCTGCAAGACTCCGGATCAAAAGGTGAGACGTTGCACCACATGGCAGAAATTAGTGATGTGCCATTTTTGTAGAAGCTTGTTTTTAATCCACATGCTATGCTGTATCATTGTATGTGTATTAGCCTGTTAGTAGAGAGTATCAAGTCTTATTGTTCGGTCGTGCATGTCCCACAGGGAAATTTACAACTCTTGCACGTCGGCTCTACGATGACGTCTCCAACCCAATGGACATGGACGATGCGGGAGACATGGATCGGGATGAGGACATTGGCAAGGGGATTGGTAAGAGCAAGGAGGAGGGGAAGAGTAGGGAGAAGGGGAAGTGAAGGGAGAAGGGCAAGAGCAAGGAGAAGGGCAAGAGCAAGGAGAAGGGCAAGAGTAAGGAGAAGAAGAGTAAGGATTCCGGCAAAAGGAATGGGAAAAAAAAGGACAAGGGGAAATGTAAGGATTCGGGCAAGGGTGATGAGAAAGACAAGGAGAAGCAGAGATTCACGATAAAAAACAAAGGTATAGTGGATTGGCAACCTAACTCTTTTACATCATCCGTCTTATACCTCGTGTGAATTCATTGTTGTTTCTAAATATTCAACGACCTAACATTCAACGACCTAACAACCACCACATTTGACTATCTCAAATCTTCCTAAGCCCCTCACTCTTCAGTCAACCCCTCTCCACTTGATCCACCCCTCTCCACTTGCTCCACCCCTCTCCGTTTGCTCCACCCCTCTCCACTTGCTCCACCCCTCTCCACTTGCTCCACCCCTCTCCGTTTGCTCCACCCTCTCCGTTTGCTCTACCCCTCTCCACTTGCTCCACCCCTCTCCACCCGCTCTCCCCCTCCCAACTTCCGCCCTCTCTCCCCACTTGCTCCACCCCTCTCCACTTGCTCCCCCCCTCCACCCGCTCCTCCCTTCGTTGGACGAACTGGCAACCATACGCATGATGCTTGCGGGCCCTCAGGCGGGTACGT